TAGTGGGATAAAACATTAGAGTGGGGTTTTTCTGGGGAAAGTATCTCTCTCCTTTCTAATTATTGTCAAGGAGAAATAAAATAAACAAACAAAAAAAAGCTTTACCTGTCTGGAACAGTTAAAAAAAAGTACTCCTCTAAAAGCAAAGAATAGGACAAAATTGGCTCTCCAAATCCATTACAGATTTGTGATTCTAGAATTGTAGCAGCCAACATTTAAATTAATCATTCATAAAACCTGACATGAGTAAATAATATATCTCTGCCTGAAGTAATTTTTTCCTGAGTAATGAGATTAATATAACACTGTACATTAACTAAACTATAATTTAAATTTTAATTTAAAAAACACCTTGTCCCAAAACATAACCTATACCTTAATGAACATGATTTTAAAAAACCTCTCAACTTTAATCTATGTAATTATGAAATCATTTAAGATTTTAGAAACTTAAAAGCAGATATAGGGATTTCCAGGTAGCTGAAGACAACAGCAGATGTCTAAATCTGTGCTATCCATATGTCCTGTAAAATAATACAGAAAAGCAAAGAGAACAAATAAAGTCACACAAAACCACATTCTTTCCATAAGACAAAAAATGCCTAAACTTCAAAGCATTTTTAAGTAAAAAGAGGAAAATAATTCTAAATCCCAGCAAGTTACTACTCATGCTCCTGCCAGAAAGTCTTTGCAGTGAGCATGGGCTCACTCCATGTAAATGAACTTAACTCATACATTAAAATAAAAAGATCACTAAGGGGTTCCATAGCAAGACCCAACTACATGCTACACATACAAGACACATTTAAAAAAAACCAAAATGATTCAGAAAGACTAAAAATAAGGGGATGAACAAAGGCATACCAGGCAAATGGAAACAATAAGAAAACAGGAATAATGATATCAATGTGGAATTCAAGCAAATTACATTAAATGATAAAAGAAAAGCACTTTTAAAATGCTAAAAACCACAATTCACAATTAAGATTGTAACTATTATAATCATCTATATGCCAAATAATACAGCAATGATCTTTTTGAAGAAATCCACAAGAAATGCAAGGAGTCACAGACAGAAACATGCTAATAATAATAATAGACTTCACGCCTACAATTGAACACTTTCTTTTCTAGTGCTTACGTAGCAGTAACAAAAACTGAGGTATTACAGATGCAAAGCGAAGTGTAAAATTTAAAAAGACTCACTTTAGAGCTCCTTTAAAGCTCACTTTAGAGCATGTTCAGTGTTGACATAGAAGAGTGTCTCCTTAAATTTTTTACCCTGGGTGTCTCAGTTGCTTAACCCTAGTCCTGGCCTTAATATATTAGGTCTCACACACACACACACACACACACACACACACACACACACACACACACATAAATCAGTGCATTCCATAAAACAGAAATAGAAACAATACTTTCTGATTACAATGCACTAAAACTATAAATTAACAAAATAAAAAAACAAAAAGGCCTCCTACCTGGAAATTCAAAAACCTTCTGTTACGGATTGAGCTATGTCTCCCCAAAATTTGTATGTTGAAGTCTCAACCACAGCACTTTAGATAGGGATTGCATTTGGAGACAGGACCTTTAAAGAGGTACCTAAGGTTAAATAAAGCTATCTGGGTGAGTCCTAATCCGTATGACTGGTATCCTCATAAGAAGAGGGAAAGTTATTAGAGACACAGGCACACAGAGGAAAGACCATATGGGAACAGAGCAAGAAAGTAACCATCTACAAGCCTACGACAAAAGAGACCTCAGGAGAAACCAAATCTGACACCACCCTGAGATCTCAAACTTCTAGTGTCCAGAACTATCAGAAAATAAATTTCTATTGTTTAAACCCTCCTGACTGTGGTACTTTATTATGACAGTCCCAGCAAACTATTAATTTCATCTCTTACTAAACAACTACACCTTCTATTAATACATCTATTAATTCTTGGGTGAAAAGGAAAATATAAATTGAAATTAGAGAATCCTAAAAGATAATGATAATTAAAACACTACAGAATATACTTAATATACTTAAAACAGGGATAAGAAAAATCTCATACTAGAAACTTTACCAATAAAAATGAAACAACAAACACTTGTTGAGTTAAACTCCCAACTCAAAATATACCAAAAAAAATGAACAAAGTAAACTGAAAGAAAGCATAAGGTATACAACATGATCTTAGAAAACTCAAAATCTACAAAGCAGTTAGTAGAAAATACATGACTTTAGTTAGGTCACAGGATTCAAGGTCATTACATAAAAGTCCACTAACTATATTTCCACATGCCAGCAATAAACAGAAAGTGTAATTTTTAAAAAACCACTCCCATTTATAATCACATAAAAATGCTGGGGAATAAAATGTAACATAAGATATGCATGACATATTCAATGAAAACTATAAAACTCTGATGACAGAAATTAAATATGACCTAATTAAATGAAGAGACATGCCATATTCATGGATTGGATAGGCACAATATTGTTGAGATGACAACTCTTCTCAAACTGAGCTACAATACAGATTCATTGCAATTCCAATCAAAACGCTAACAAGCCTTTTTGAAAAAGGTGACAGTCTGATTTTAAAATTTATGTGGAAAGGTAAAGGACCTAGAAAAGCCAAAACAATCTTTACAAGAAAGAACAAGGTGGAGAGGACTTGCACTACCTGCATCAAACTTACTATGAGGCCACAGTGGTCAAGACAGTGTGATAGTCATGTGAAGACGGACAAACAGGTCACTGCAATAGGACGGAGTCCAGAAACAGAAACACTTAAATGGTCAACTGATTTTCAACAAAGGAACCGAAATAATTCAATAGAGGAAAAGAGAGTGTTCAACAAATGATGCTGGAACAACAGGATACCTATATGGAAATAAAAAATGAATGTCTACCATCACCTCACACTACACAGAAATTAACATGAATTGGATCATAAAACCTAAGTGTTAGAAACAAAATATTAATCTTTTAGAAGAAAACAAAATAGAAATCTTTGTAACACAAGATTAGGCAAAGCTTTCTTTTAAAGAGAACACACAAAAGGGGTGGCTGGAGGGCTCAGTCCATAGAGCATGCAACTTGACCTCAGGGTCGTGAGTTCAAATCCCATGTGGGGCATAAAGATCACTTAAATAAGTTTTTTAAAAATTAAAAAAAAAACCACACACACACAAAACAAACTAGAAAAAAAATGATAAAATAGACATCAAAATAAATTTTGCTTTCAATAGACACAATTAAACAAAGCAATCCACAGACAAGGGGCTTGTTGCAAAATAAAGAGCTGTTACAACTCAATATGAAAATAATTTCCCAATTTTAAATATGGGCAAAATATTTGGACGAATACTTCAAAAAACCACATTACAAGATGCTAACCAACATTAGCCATTGGGGAAAATCAAATTAAGACCACAATGATATATTACTCCACATCTTCTAGGGTTAAGTTAAAAAGACAGACAATAACAAATGTCAGTTAAGATGTGTGAATCATATGGAATTGTCATAGGGGAACTCTCATACGTTGCTACAGGAATGCAAAACAGCATAACTACTTTGTAAAACAGTTTTGCTATATATGTTATAAAACAGTATTGCTATATGTCATCACTCAGAAATGTCATTCCTAGGGCGCCTGGGTGGCTCAGTTGGTTAAGCGACTGCCTTCGGCTCAGGTCATGATCCTGGAGTCCCGGGATCAAGTCCCGCATCGGGCTCCCTGCTCAGCAGGGCGTCTGCTTCTCCCTCTGACTCTCTTCCCTCTTGTGCTGTCTCTCATTCTCTCTCTCAAATAAATAAATAAAATCTTTAAAAAAAAAGAAATGTCATTCCTAGACATTTAACCAAGAGAAATAAAAATGTATGCCCAAAGACTTGTACATGAATGTTCATAGCAACATTAATCATAATAGCCCCAAACTAATAACCCAAATATCTGTCCATCAAAAGGAAAATGAATAAACAAATGTTACATCCATTCAATGGAATATTAATCAGCAATAGAAAGGAATGAACTACTGATATATGCAACAACATGGATAAATCTGGGGGTGCCTAAGGCTGGGGATCAGAGGAGAGGTCAACTGCAAATAGACATGGGGAAACTTTTAGGGTAATAGAACTGTTCTATGCTTTTAATGTGGTGATGATTACAAAACTTTATACAATTACCAAAAAGCATCAAGCTGCACATTATTTAAATGGATGAATTTTATTTTATGTATGCTAAACACTAATAAAACTATAAAAACTTTTTAATGGCAGAAAAACACAGAAAGAAGAGAGTAGAAATTAATGAGGTAGGAAAAAGAAAAACAATTGACTCCATAAATCAAATTCCTAATTTAAAAAATACTGAAACGTACGCTTAAAATGATTAAAATAGTGAATTCTGTAATGTATATTTTATCACAATAAAAAGAATAAAATCAACAAAGCACTAGCTGACTAGATTAACAAAGAGAGGAAGAAAGCACATATACAAATAAGAAATGGCTCCAGGGAAAGTAAGCACTGAAACAGAACAAATTGAAAAATAAAAACTATTCTGCAGATCTCTATGCAGACAAATTTGAAAACCAAGATGAAATAATTTCATATGAAAACACAGATTATAAAAATTGATCCCAATAGAGACAGAGAGCTTTAATAGACCATTTTCTATAAAATAAACAGATAATTATTCCAGAAGTTAAGTTGGTTCAAGATTAAGAAATCCATTAACACACAATATTAACAGTATAAGAGTGGAAAAATTATGATTGTCTCCAGAGACGCTGAAAACCTTTGAAAATTTTCGACATCATGCCTATCATTTCTACTATAGTGTTTGCCAAATGATCTTTTCCTATTTCCATCATTCTTTCTACGTTTATTAGTTGGAATTCTCCTGAAAAGAGCTTTCCTTCTCTCTAAATATTATACATTATATCATCTGGACACACAGATTTTTATTTTATCCTATGGATTATAACCTTTTATTACAACTTATTTCTTTGCTCAGATTTGGCCACTGGGTGCTAAGAGTAGTGGAAGAATGTATGATGAGAAAGTATGATGAGAAAATTTACATAGTCTCAAAGTATTTCCCCATAAGATAATTATATATCACAAAGAGAAAAAAAGTCATTTTATACTGGAAAAATCTGGCCAACACCACCTTAACCAAATGATCAAAGTGAACATCACCAGTAAGGGGACAAATAATATACCTCCTAATATAATGCACTGAGGACACATGACTTTGACTCTGGTATTATTTTTGCTAAAAATATACAACCTGAATTTAATCATAAAGAATTTAAGACAAACTCAAATTGAGGGACAAGCTACAAAAATAACTGGTCAGCACTCTTCAAGGAAAGGCAATGTATGATTCTGGACTGGATCTTGGACCAGAAAAACGGTATCAGTAGGACAATTGGTAAAATTTGAATAAAGTCTATAGGTTTGATAACACTAATATTTATTTCCTGATTATATTAATGTTAGTATCTTAGCTTTGACTTTGTAATATGGTCATGTAAGATGTCAATCTTTATAAAGATCTCGGTGAAGACCATGTGGGAATTTTACAATGTTTTGTTACCTCTGAAATTATTTCAAAATGAAGTTTAAAATATATACATGCATATATAACCTAATACTCTGAAGTTCCTTTCTGGCCAACTCTTCTGCCATCTGTGAAGCCCGCAATTTCTCTTCACACTGATCCTTTTCAGATTGCCTCCAGACATCATGTTCCACTTTCATTTTCTCTAAATCCGCTAATCTGTTCTCAAGTTCTATCCTAAAACAACAGATGATAATTATGTTACAAGAACTACAATGAGGATGATATGACAGCAAAATATTTTCATTTGCAAGGAGATTGAACACAAAATAAGGTAATTAAGTACTTACTTTTCATCTTGTAATACCACAAGTTTTTGATAACCTTCTTCCTTGGCAGCTTGTACTTTACGTATTAATTCACGATCCTTTCCTACTAGGAGAGCTTTGTGGTGTTCAACAGCCGACTTGAGAATTTCATTGTCTGACTGTAATCCTAATATTTTTTTTAAGGAAAAAGATATGCTGTATTCGGTGTTATTAAGCTGAAAAAATCGTAACAGCAAGCATCCATAAACTCGTAAGACAACTAAAAAAGCGTAGAAAGTCTGGATATGTATTCTCAAAGATCTATACATTACTGATAAACCTTTCAAGAATGAAACCGACTAAAACTCAGAATTAACTATTCTGTCATTATTTTATTTAGCATACATATACAAATGCTTTAATAAAAGACTACATACATTTACTCACTTGACTCTTGAGAGCTGGGGACATCAACCCAGGTGATATCCAAAGAGATATAAATACTTACTTCACTTCTAAAAGGGTTTTGTAACCTTAGCCCCACAGACAGCATCATCATAAAGCTGGCTGGAAGTAGAGTGAATAAAATCATAGAACCCATCAAAACCTATCATTCTAGCAGATGTGTTATATATTTCCAATGGAAATATAAATTGGAGGGGCGCCTGAGTGGCTCAGTCAGTTAAGTTGGGAGCCTTCAGGTCAGGTCATGATCCCAGGGTCCTGGGATCAAGCAAGCCCCGCATCAGGCTCCCTGCTCAGTGGGGAGCCTGCTTCTCCCTCTCCCTCTCTCAGCTCATGCTCTCGCTCTATTTCAAATAAATAAATAAAATCTTAACAAAAAAAAAAAAAAGAAATATAAATTGGAAACTTTCAAGTTTATCCAATGAATTCACAAATTTTCCTTATATTGATATGGCAAGTATTTTGCAGATGAAATAACTAAAACAAATTCATATCTAACACAAAATTTAAAAAGAACGCATAACTAGATCATAAACTCTTTAAGTCCCTTGAAAAGTTACTCCCTAAGTCTATAGAAATTCATGAATCAACATCAAGTAGAGATTAATGATGAAAACAGTAATTCATCATAAGCTCTGTCTGAAACTACATAGGCCAGGTCAACTAAAGACCAACTTGAGGACAGTTACAGGCCAAAGGTAGCTTAAACACCTCTTAAGAAAAATCAGAAATAATATAATTCTGAGGAATCTTGATGAGAAGAACATTCTAAGACTACACTGGAGCTTAAAAATAGGCCCAATAACTAGCCTACTGTTTACATAAAAACAAAAACTGGGCTGGGGATCCACCTATCTTCCTTACTTTCTTAAGTCTTAAAATGGTCTGGGACTAATAATCACATGATCTAAATAGATTCACAACTATAAACCCAGAAAGTATGAAATCCCATTTGTAAAGTTTCACTTAATTTATGTATTAATCAAATAACTGACATAAACATAAGATTTTTTTTAAAAAGACACATCACAAAATGAACATTCAACACAAATAAAAATAATCCATATGTGCTCTCAAATTAAAATTCAATTAGGCTGAAAATCTGGAAATAAAAATTCAGTTTGATTTATTTTAATAATTTGTTTGTATGTAAAAATAATAGTAAAAAGCATGGGAAATCATATATTACCATCCAGTTCACTCTGAATCTTATTCCTTTCTCTTTCTAGCTCACTCTTAGCTCTTGCTGCCTCCAGTTTGATGTCTGTTATTTCTAGTTTGTTTGAATGTTTAAGTTCTTCTACCTGTTGATAATTAGAAATTGAAATTACTATAGGTCATTTTCTTGCCATTAACTGCTTACCCAAAAACATCAGTAGAAATGAGAAAACGTTTTGGTAGCAGAGTACACAGTGTAAGTACCTTCCAATGGGAAGGTGCTTCAGGGCCTTGAACAGTATTTGGTACCAAGAAAACAGCCTTTTCCTAACAGAATTGAGTTATTTCTTTACAAATATCTGGCTGGGATCATCTGGCTTAATCTTGCCTTAAAAGGCTTAACTGCAAGTACCTAAAATCCAATAGTCAACGACGGACACATCTTCAGAGAAAAAAGCCTGAAACCTCCCTTTAAAAAAAAGTGCTGGTGACAAGAAGGCATTCTAGATATAAGGAACAGCACATAAAATGTTATAAAGGCATAACATCACACAGTATGCCTGCAAGAAACAATGAGCAATGTGTTAGAACAGAGGAAGGCAGGAAATCTGTAGACTGGCAGAGAAGAAACTTTATATGCCGTACAAAAGGGCTGCGTATCCTGTTAGCTACTGAAGGGGACACAATCAACTTTGTTTCAGAAAATTAACTCTAATTGCAAATTAAGATTAAGAAACTGAAGGTAAAGACACCAATTAAGAGGCAAAGGATTGACCAAGTGGGCAAGAAGGAAGAATCAATTGAAGTGTGTGTGTGAGAGAGAGAGAGAGAGAGAGAGAGAGAGAGAAGGAGAGAGTGTGTGTGTGTGTGTGTGTGTGTGTGTGTGTGTGTGGCGGCGGCGGCAGTGGGAAGAATGAGTATAAAACATATGAATCTAATTTAAACTTTTACTGCCCAAACCTGATTCTTTTAAAGCCCTGAGTGAATGGAAACAACTGTCAATATTTTCCATATAATTAACCAATCACAGACTAATTTTTAGTTTTCTCTGAGACAAGTTGAATGATTCTAGTTCATGAGTAGTATTCATTCATTGGATAAATATTTACTGAGTACCTATTATGTGCCCCAGCACAGTTGTAGGAGCTGGGGTTACAGAAGCAAACAAAAAAGCTTAATCTCTCCAGTTATCTGCACTACCCTCTAATATTTTCCATTTCCTTTCCTTTTGGTAAGGTGCTTCTAAAGTTAGTCCTACAGTTAATCCTCTAATGAGGATTTAACCAATACAGATATAAAAATTAGATAAACCTGTACTCTGACATACTGATGCATAAAACAATGAAATTAGAGTAGAAAACCACAAATATATACAAGCCAAATATGTAAAATGTAAGATGATGGGAACAGGAGGGAAGAGGATAATATCCTTGAATGCAACAGAAATCTATAAAAACTGAAGATGGGAGATAGAAACAAATGAGAAAGAGCTCCTAGAGCCAAAGAGGGGAAGGATGAGAAATAGAAGTGTCTTACCAAAAGAGACTCCATCCATGAAAGGTCTTAAAAACATGTAAGGAAGGGTTTGGTCAAAATCCTCACTTAAAGAACAACAGAAAAGCAAGTACTCTGCTGCCTTTGTACTGCTAACCACATTTAAGATGCATGCTTTGCTTCCAAATAAACTTAGAGATTTTTAAATGACACTACAGAGGCTGCTGGGAAGATGGCGGAGTAGGACGACCCTGGGCTCACCTCTTGCCACGTGGCCACCTGGAGAGCACCCACATCGGCATAAATAACCCAGAAAACAACCGGAAAACTGGTAGAACAGACTCCCCGCAGCCCGACGTAGACAAAAGGCCATAGCAAAGCAGATCCACCCCCTCCGATCGCTCTTGGCAAGATCCGATCAAAGCGGTGCCACAAGCCTGGCAGTGTGTGCGCGGCCCAAACAAGGACCGGCACCACTCCAAAGTGAGTCCTGCTCCAGGGAGCAGGGAAGATAACCACACGCCAGTCTGACTGTGACCCCAGCAGTGCGCTGGGGGCAGGCAGATGGTCTGATTGCAGGCCCCACCCACCAACAAAAGCTTCTCAGGGGACAACACAGGGAAAGTGCCTGTAGTTTGGTGGTACTTCATCTCTGGCCAACACCTGGTCTGACTCAACTCGAGCCCAAGGCAGCCCCAGACCGGCTCACTAACACCACAGGCACCAGACTCTACTCACAACAGGCAGAGAGCCATCGCAGGCCAGACTGAAGGCAAACACATCCCAGCCAAAATGGTAGGACACCTTGTAGCAACACACGTATAGGAGACACCCCGTGAAGCACCATTTTCTGATGAAAAGGAGACACTGCGCTGCAGGACCTCTTCTTCACAAAGCCACTACTTTCAAGTGCAGGAGACACAGCTGACTTTCCTAACACAGAAAAACAGACACAGCAACAGACAGAATGAGGAGACAGAGGAATATGTCCCAAATGAAAGAGTGGAACAAAATCAGAGCAGGAGATCTAAGCGAAATGGAGATAAGTAATATGTCTGATAGAGAATTTAAAGTAATGCTCATAAAGATACTCACTGGACTTGAGAAAAGAGTGCAGAACCTTCATGAGACCCTCCACCAAGAGATAGGAGATGTAAAAAAGCACCAATTAGAGCTACTGGACTCAGTAAATGGAAATAAAAATAGACCACCTGGAATAAGTAGCAAACAAGAGGAAGAAGAACGGATCAGCCACCTGCAGGAAAGAGTAATCAAGCTGAGCAGATGAGAGGGGAAAAAAATACGCAAAATGAGAATAGACCCAGGGAACTCAGCGACACTGTCAAGCATAACAGTTGCATGATAGGGCTCCCAGAAGGAGAAGAGCAAGAAAAGAGGGCAGAAGATCTGGCTGAAGAAATAATTGAAAGTTCAAAACTTCCTGAATCTGGGGAATGAAAAAGAAATCCAGAATCCAGGAGGCACAGAGAGCCCCCAACAAAACCAATCCAAAGAGGTCTGCACCAAGACACAAAGTAAATAAGATGGCCAAAAGTAGTGATAAAGAGAGAATTTTAAAAGCAGCAAGAGAAAGGAAAGCAGTGACATACAAGGGAAACCCCATACGGCTATCATGGGTTTTTCAGCAGAAACTCTGCAAGCCAGAAGACAGCGGCATGATAATTCCAACTGCTAAAAGGAAAAAAATCTACAGCCAAGAATACTCTATCCAGCAAGGCTTTCATTTAGAATAGAAGGAGATGGAGTGTCCCAGAAAAATAAAAGTTAAAAGCAAAACCAGCCATGTCCCTGTCACACATGATGCCATCGGCCTGTGGGTCCCAAATCCACAGTCCAGCCGCCCTCCTGCCCGAGTCAGCATGCACGGCCTGTCACCTGCTCAATGCCAAGTCAACACGCCTTCACCTCAGACTGCCAAGGGCTCAAACTGGCACTCTTCCCCTCAAATTCCAGCCCCTGTGCTCAAGTTTGTGCACAAAAGTGGGCATAATTATAACAGCAGAATGAAGCAACCCAAACAGTGACATTATTTCTGTGGAATATAGAATGGATAAAAGGAGTGTGCTAGGCTGAGAACATCACCAACAAGCACATCAAAGAACAATACATACAGCATGATTCTGGTTAGTAAAAAAACCAAACAAACCTGGGAAGAATAAAACAAGATGAAATCAGAGAGGGAGAAAAACCATACGAGACTCTTAACTATAGGAAAGAAACTGAGGGGGGTGCCTGGGTGGCTCAGTTGGTTAAGTGACTGCCTTCGGCTCAGGTCATGATCCTGGAGTCCCGGGATAGAGTCCCACATCGGGCTCCCTGCTCAGCAGGGAGTCTGCTTCTCCCTCTGACCCTCCTCCCTCTCATGCTGTCTCTCATTCTCTCTCTCGCAAATAAATAAAATCTTTAAAAAAAAAAAAGAAAAACTGAGGGTTGCTGGAGGGGAGGTAGGTGGGGGGGATGGGGTAACTGGGTGATGGGCATGAAGGAGGGCAAGTGATGGAATGAGCACTGGGTGTTCTATGCAACTGATGAATCACTGAACTCTACCTCTGAAACTAACACACTATATGTTAATTAATTGAATTTAAATTAAAAAAAGGAACCCCCCCAAAAATAAAAAAATAAATGACACTACATAAAATGAATACCTTGTGCTGATACCAGCTTTGCAGTTTTAAACATTTCTGAAAGCAAGTCTCACAGAACAATGTTTAACTACATGAAAGCAGCTAAGAAACTGTTATTTATTTTAACAACTTAACCTTTCTGTGGATTGGACTCTACTACATTATAATTTCATGGACAGACAGAATTTACACTATAAATGTTTTAAAATTTTGAAGAAATACAACTACAATGAAAATCCAATTTCTATAACAAATGAAATTATAACCTGCTATTATATACTAGCTGTAAAAGGTTAAGAATGACATAACAATTAACAAACCACACCACAGCTTCTCTAAATATGAGGTGGAAAATTAGAGCCATCTTATTTTGCAAAAACTTGATTCATTTCAACAAGAACTACGAAATATATAAAAAACCTATTTCTTAATTCATTTCAACCTGAGAAAATATTTTTCAACTCAAATATAATTATTGAAACTGAAAGAACAGTAGACAGGAAGTCAAACAAGTAAAGTCTGACTTCAGGCCTACTTTTATTATTAAACTAGTGGTATATGCTCAAAGTGTTTGTCCTCACTGCATTTGAATTTACTCATCTATGAACCTATAGGAGTTTCAGTTTTCCTATAGTGCCAAATTTCTATAATCCTAAAATAATGAATGCACTTACAGTAATTGTTAACTTCCTAAAAATATATTAAAAGGATTTATTAAAAATGAAAAACTTACAGGAATTTTATTACTAAACTATGACAAACAGTAGCACTTTCTATAAGTAATCTGAACCAAATCCCAACTAGTCACAATAAACTTTTCTTTCTGACTCTAGATCCCTGGTTCTTCACCTTTTTTGTGATCAGGCCTCAAATTCCTAGGAGAGCTAGAGATCATTTCCTAAACAAAATGTATAATGTTAAAATGTTGCATGGGCCAAGGTACCCTGTTTCTCTTTTTTTTTTTTTTCACAATACATTTTCCATTTTGGCCTTCATGTTGCCAA